ATGAACTCTACTGCATAGTTACAAACAATTGGGTAAAACATGAAACTTACAAAGCACAAAACATTGTCACACTTTATCATAAATCATAATTTCAAGAAAACTTTGAAAAATAATCAGAATTTGTTTTTATTCCCTGAATTTAAATCTCAAATTTTCCCCTTTTACTTCCCTTTATTTGAACAAAATATTTATCCATTCTAAAGCATCGATTTAACTTACTGAAAAAAATGTAAATGGTAAATGTATTTAATTACAGAATATAATTTAATGGATTAAATAAAATATCTATAAAACTCTTATTAGTTTAACTCAAATGTTGCTAGTTTATATCCCTAACTTATTATTGGTCAAACTGAAGTTCAATGAAGATAAATTGCTTGATTTTGGTTACAGTATTTATACACATACAAGCAAAATTTGGTTTTAGATTCTGGTTGAATGCTATTACTTAAACACATACTTTTTAAACAAAAGTATATGGTATAAAATGAAAGAATATTTTCTAATAATATAGTAAACATGAATATCAGATGTCATTAAATTACAAATGCATATATGGGACATTACATACAAAACCTTCTGTCCTTTACATCTCACAGTTGGAAAATGTAAAGAAAGGACACAAATTGGAGACATCTGCAAACCATATAACTGGCAAAAATTCATAAAGAACTTTTAAAATGTCTTGTTAAGAAACAAGACATCATATAATGAACAAAATAACTGAAAGATACTTCATAAGGAAATGTATGCTAATGAATAATATACTTACAAAATATGTTCAATACCACTAATCATCTGGGGAATACAAATTAAAACAATGAGATACCACTTCACACCTATTAGAATGACTAAAATTAACAGGTTGGCTATAGCAAAGATACTCTGTCAGTTACTCTGGTGCAGGAAAGGCAAGGTATGTTGTTACAGGGAATCAAGGTTAGATATTTTTTTTTTTGTTAGGGCAATGAAGAGTTTATCAAGAGGTAAAGAACATTTTTAAGGATATTATAATGAACCAGAATCTAAGCTGAATATTAATTGGATAAGTAGGGAATTATGATAGAAGCGTATATGTTCCAAAAGAGGGACAGTTTGGATTTGTAGCCAATATGTTTACCAATCATAAAAGTTTCTGTTTTATATATATTTATTTTTGTTGTTTTTAGATATACATGACAGTAGGGTGTGCTTCAACACATTATACATACATGGAGTGTAACCCATTTCAATTTGGATCCTATTCTTGATTTTATATGATGTGAAGTTAAACTGTTCATACATAGGAAAATTATCTCAGATTCATTCTACTGTCTTTCCTATTCCCATCCACCATCCCTTCATTTCACCTGTCTAATCCAATGAATTTCTATACCTCCCCTTCTTACCTTCCCTTGTTATGGGTTAGCATCCACATATCAGAAAGAACATTTAGTCTTTGGCTTTTGGGGCCTGGCTTATTTCACTTATCATGATTTTCTCTGGGTTTAGAGGCTGAGGTGACTGGAGGAAATTTTATTTTTTTAATAAGAAAATCAAAGAAGGTGAATGTTCCATTTCTGAACTAATAATCCATTTTCAGTTTGAGGTCAAAGACTTATGAAAGCTATTGGGGTAGAGTAGTATACTATGATCCAGATTATGAAGGAGATATTGTCAAAGTGAACAGAAATCTGAGCAGGAAGTAACAGGATAAAAGTGCTATCAGATACCATGTGCTCCTTTTAGATTGATACTTTTGTTGGAAGAAGCTGGAAGTTGTTTTTGGAAATGATGTGAGGAAGGAAGAAATCTACCATAGCTCCATCTTTACTGGGGTCTACAAGCCTGACCAGAAAGGTAGAGTAATGGGGCGATTCCACCGAGATCTCTCCAGGAAAAACAGCCAACAGAACTTTCAGAAAAGAGATTGAAGGGCAGAAGTTTTGATAAAACTTTTCTAAGATGGTGGAAAATGATGTGGAATTGGGGCAAATTAGAGAATACTTAGAGCATAGTGGAGTACAAATAAAAGTGAAGTACAGATCTGGGAGCCTTAAATAAAAGGAGCTTAGTAATTAAATTTAAACTTACATGGTTTTGTAAAGGAAGATGAATAGTTTATCATTTCTGAGAGGATATTTGTAGTACCCAATCTTCTCTCCTGAAGTTAAGGATCACTTGCTGACCTTGAGGAAATGCAATGTCAGTGAGGACTCTTGGATATAAATGAACTTCAGATGGTCTCCCTTTCAGGAAATTATGAGGGAAGGGGACTTTTCTCCTTTGGTTCCCACTGAGTATCTGGAAATAGCCTGCATCTAACATATGGAAGGTCATCAATGAATAATATTTGAATAAATGAATTGATAAGAAATTCAAAGAAATAATAAAAGTGAGAGGTTCAGGAATATATTTCACTTTAGCAATATTGCTTCACTTACATAAGGTTATCTCTTTTTTAACCAAATTTTGTGTTTACTTAATCTAAGAAAAAAACAGTATGAATCCCTTTGCCTGTTACGAATGACCTCCCAAGTACCTCAAGTACGTACCCAGCATTGAGGCTTATAATTTTTATCCTAAAGTTAATCAGTCCTAAATACATCTTCTCCTACTTTACCTGATATTATTTTTCTTCTTCTCCCTTCATTTACTAAGGCCTATACCACAAAGAAGCCTTTTCTTTCCAATTGTATACAAAAATATTGATAACCTCCATTATGCATGTTTTTCCATTTTTATAGTGTGCCTCATGCCTCCTATTTTATGTTACTGTAATTTCTCTATGATAGAAGCTCTTCTAGAGAAAGTCTTGCTTGTTCCATACATTCTTGATTGCTAGTATTGTAAGTGAAATAGGATAAAACAATTAATAGGATTGATTGTTTTTTGGGTATAGACAGCTTCCATGGACAACCACTTATATAAGGATTTTATCTATCTGTAAACCTAACCAAATGTTGATAATGTCACTTAATAAAGTTTTAGAAATAGATAATAAAAGAGTAAATGCACCACAAATTTCTTTTACTGTGAGCAACAAGATGTCCCCATTTTTCATTCAAAAATTGATATCTATTTAGCAATATATACAAACCTTTTACTATACATTTAAATGTATACAACTTATTGTGTGGCATGTAAATATATCTTTTTACATAATATTTAATAAACATAAATTTTAGTATGATTTTGATTAATGTGTATTAGTAAAATAACATAGGAATAAAAATAAATTATATTTACAAAAGTCATTTAAACCCATTCCTTAATTATCTAATTTCTCACTTTGAAAATATTATAAAAACCCAAATTTCTTTGTAGTGTTGATCCAACTTAACATTTGAATTCAAGGAGGAGAGATGGAAATTCTGATCAGTATGTCCTATGCTGTCACTTGAACCTGAATTACTGCTTATATTGTGATGCAATAATGACCATTTTCCTACAGATAGGAGCCCTTGATAACCCCTCCCACTTCAAAGGCATCTGACCTCACCACCAAAAAAAAAAAAAAAAAAAAACAAATTCTATCTAAAGTAGGGAATTTCAAGAGTAATGGGTCTTTTCTGTGAACAGTAACACACCAAAATGAATTTTCAGGACACAGAACAGGATATTCACAAATTTCTAGATCTCTGAAGTTGGCCTGCAGTCTTTTGCTAATATCTTTTGAGGAATGATCAATGATAAAAAGGTTTTAAATATTTTCTCTGTCCTATTAGGACTCCAAGTTTGTCAAGCAGTTGGTTGTAAACCATACTTTAAATCTTTCCAAGGCGAAATCATTTTAATTGGTGCCAGATATGGTGGAACAGTGGTCAGTAAACTATGAAGTAGATTATTTCCCTTAAAAATGAAGTAAAAATGTGTATTTATTAATCTTCCTTTGCAGGCTGTGGAACTCTTAAAGTTATCCATATTACTTAATACAGTGCTAACAAGAGACATTCAATACTCTTAATTTGACATTTTGTAGAGGTAGTAGCACTGATAGAAGCAAATGGGTTCTCTTCCTATACTTTTCTTCTATTCTATTCCCCAACACAAGACAAGGATCAGAATGAGATATTTCAGGGATATTCAATAAAACCCCATAAATGTTTGCTTTCTGTGTTTTAAGTGCTCAAAATTTAAACTGATGAAAACCATGGTAATAATGCTCCACAGTTTTAATCGAATGTTCTGAAACCATATTTGTATTTCTAATGAATCTGTATGACTCACTTTTTGCAAAAGTATTTTTTAAAATAAGCTCTTGATTAGATGAATTATCAACATTAATACTTTTAAGAATCAAAATTTGTTCAATTTCCTTTGAACATAAAATACTCAACAGAATTCACATTTCAAACTAAAATTTTATTCTAGTTTGGAGAACTTTGTTCTCTCACTTCCTTCTTTCTCATTAATACATCTAGTCAGTGGAGTTGTTCCCCTCTCAATAAACACAAGGAACTTAATAAACAAGAGGAAAAATAAACTTACAAATACTCATTTTTCTATTATCACGTATTTTAAATCCTTACCAGTTTTATGGCCTCCTAAACTAGATTATTAGAATAAATATAAAGATGAGCCAGAAAAGATATTTCTCAATAAATCACATGTGGACGAAACATGAGAAAAATTGTAAATTTCACTAGATTATTCAAAATTCTAACATAAGTTTTAAGATAAACATTTGCTCTTAAGAGATACCTGTTATCATCCAATGTCTCTAAAAATAAAGTGTAAACCCAGCTTTTACATTTGATATCACGTTTTGATTGAGTATTTTTGGCATTATATCACTGTTGCAATTCTAAAATTCAAGTAAACATTAAAAAGAAATTAATTTTTTTTTCTTTAAAGGACTTTATTTTGTTTTCAGGACCAAATACGGAGCCCTATGAATTTCTGGGCTTTGCTCTCCAATCCCAACAACAGTATTTCAACTTCAAATTCCCATTTTTTCCCCTGGAATGTCAATGATCCTCACGGTTTCTCAGGTCACATCTTTAAGTCCCCCTTCTGCTCTATTTCATTGTTGTGCTGTTGAGCTCACTTTTCTGAAGAAAGTTGTACCACGACTGAAGGAGTAGGGCCTCCTCCTGCAGGGCTCTCTCCTCCTCCTCAAGAGCGCTGTGCTCTTCTCTCAGAGCCTTGTTCTCCTTTCGCAGGGCCCGCTCCTCCTTCCACAGGGCCTCTTCCTCCTTCCCAAGTGCAATCCCCTCCTTCACCAGGGCCTGTTCCTCCATGTTGATGGCTTTCTTCTGGTGGTGCAGGGCCCTGATCTCCTGGTTCAGAGACCTCATTTCTTCGTCCAGAGCTTTGGCCTCGTTCTGGAAGGCGATCTCCTGCTGCTTGAGGGCCTTGAGCTGGGCCTCACGGGCTCGTTTCTGTTGCCGACTTGATTTTCTCTGAGTGTTCAAGGCCTTGACATTTTCTCTAGATGATTTCTGTTTCTCCAGAGAGGTCTTTTTAAGCTCCCAGAGTACCTGGTTTTCCTCCTGCAGGAGCTGGTTCCTCTCCCGGATTAACTTGTTGTCCCTTCGAAAGGCTTTGCTCTCCCCTCTGAGAGCTTTGTTTTCTCTCCAGAGGGACTTGTTGTCCTCCCTGAAAATGTTGTTCTCCTCTCTGGACGCGCGGTTAGCTTTCCAAAGATTCTTTCCCACTTCGGGAGATTCCTGTTTGACTTGACTTGGTTCTCGGGCACAAGAGCAGAAAGGGGAAAACAACTGCAGTATCTTCTTTTTATTTATCCTTTTTGATTCAGAGCTATCCATTGTTCCTTAGTGTGCTGAGCAGAATATATATAGTTGGCTTCTACTACAGGTGAACTCGTGATATTTGCAACAGAAAAAGCCCTAAATGTGTGGAGAATTTCTTCATATAGTTCTGGTTGTGGTGTTGACTTGTATTAGGAGAAATGTGGCCGGGTCTAAACCAGGCTCAGTCCGGCTCACTGGAGGAGAAGCAGTGAATATATGAATTAAAGTCAGTAAACTAATTATAAGGTTGATATCACTCAAATTGGGTCTAAGTCATAACACGTAAATTATATATTAATAACTTTATCTTGAAGTACATATGGAGTCAATCAAGAATAATGCATGGAATTATTATCTTCATGTCTCAGTTAAATTATTTCTGCTAAATATAATCTTCCACTAATCACTTCATTTTCAATAAATATATCACTTGTTATTAGTATGGAAATACATTATGTATTTTAAAAATGTTTCTAGTTATATAAAAATAATTCCAGTAAGAACTAAAAAAAAATTTTTAAAAGAAGTTCTGTATCATACTGTTTAAACATTTAAGATTATTTGAACTGTTAAATAGTTAAATATTTAACTAGAGTCTCACTTACAATTCTGTGATCTCTGAATTCCCTGAACATCTGATCTCTGCTAATAACAGAAAACAAATAAGCAACATCTTATGTCAACTATAGTGATGTCATTTAGGGTCAGAACTAATGACACAATGAGTCAAATATGTAGCATTTGGCTCTTTTGTTAGTATGTGTTTTAAGAAAAAAACTGATTTTGAAGATAAAGTTTATATTTAATGTTTTTTGTTAAACTAATAAGTATTTGATCCTTACTTCCATATGAATTATTAACATTGACTTAAAACATTGATTTTTGTTATTAACAAAATAGCTTATATTGATAATATGTTAGTTTAAAATTACTAATAAACACTGTATAATCAAAGGTGAAAATATTTAAAAATTTTAAGACCACTCCTGAATAATCAACATAAGGTAAATTTTTTGTTATATTAAGAAACTTAAACTGGTAAATTTTTAGTTACAGTGATTTCATTCTAGATGCAGTTAATATTCAACTTTTATTCACTGACAGAACAATAACAAGAAAACAGACTTTTATAGTTTTTTCAAAAATGATATTTCTGATAAGTTATGACAATATTTAACTATTTGGATGTTGCATGGATACCACAATGTTTTACCTGTTATTATGAGCATATTATTGGTTTAAGGCATAAATTTGAAAATTTAACATAAAATAGCATGAATAATCCCAAATACTCAAATCTGAGTAAAGATCTGTCAATTATTTATCTTACCATATTTATTAGCAGCCACTTATTTATTTCTTTTTAATAAAGTTAAAAAGTAATTTCTATATATTCCTACTAACTTAATAAAAATAGTATGAAATTCATAGTGGTATGAAAGGATAAGAGATATTAAATGAAAAGGATCTATGTGAAACTTTTTTGTTTTCAAATTGAGAGTGAAATACCCACCTGATAACTTTCACCAGTAAGATAGTTGAGAAAGTGTATTAGCTGGATCCGTGGCAGCTTCTTTATTGTGTTCCTGCTACCATGGTAGCTAAAGATTCCAAAATAGTTCTAAAAAACACAAAACTCAGGGCATTCTGCATTGGAATGTTATGATTCCTGAACAAAAAGACAAACTGAGAAGTAAGAAAAAAATATCTTTTGTCATTGATCTATTGAATAAATTGAATCCATTATTTAAAAGGTTTTCACAAATAATCCACATGCCTAGATGACTTTATCACTGAATTCCTACAAATATTTTATTTTCATTGCTACCTTTCTCATTTGTTTTTATTAATAGCATTTAATTGACAAATCCTAACTGTATACACTTATGAAGTACTTGATATTTTGCTATTTATGTCCAAAGTGAAATAATTAATCTAGCTAATTAACATATCCAAATATTTAAGACAGAAATAATACTAATATATCCATGAATTCTTACAGGTGATATAAATTAAATGGGTAACTTATTCTTTTGAAAGTGCATTAGTCTGATATAAAACCTACCAAGAAAGAAAAACTGTAGTATAAAATATATTATGAACCACAGATGCAAAAATCATTACAAAAAATTGACATGCCAAGTTAGCGACAAGTAAAATAAATATCGGTAGCAAATTGGGTTCAATTTATGAATGCAAGATTGAATTAACAATGGAAAATAAAAGTAATTGAATTCAGCATATTAATGGAACAAAAGAGGAAACTTTTATCTCAAGATAAGAAAAGTCACTTTAGTAGCTACAGATAAAATATTCGATTAAAACAACAATCAACACACATTCATAATTAAAAACCCAAAACCATTAAATCACCAATATCACCAAATTCTTTTTAGTCTACTAGGAGTAGAATGGAATGGATCACTTGCAAATAGCAATAAACAAACCAACAATTAAAAAAAAAAACCTGTAGAAATATATCAAATGATGAATCACTTATAGATCAGGAATATATAAACAGGATTTGGGGAAAAAATAAGGGTCTCACTATTAGTAAATCATATTAAAAGTGCATAAAATTGAAGATATTTTACATTTAAACTATTAAAATTGAATATGATCTACTAGACATTTTGGATGTCAGATTATCTGAAAATTAGCTTCATTTACATATGCCCAATAAACAATTTGAAAATAAATTTTATAATTATGTAATTAAAATTTATAGTAAAAACAATTACCCAGAAATAAATCTATGTAGGACCTCCATATAGAAAAAATTATAATTTAATCAATTGCAAAGCTATAAATAATAATAGACTATGTTTATTATCAGAAGATTCAATACTGAAATGATATTAAGTCTTTTAAAATTATTTATATTTTCAATGGGTTTCCAAAAAAAAAAAAAAAACAAAAAAACAAAACAGGAGTTTTTGTTGTGTGTGTGTGTGTGTGTATTTATATATACCCATATATATGTGTGTGTGTGTATATATATATATATATATATAAAATTGGATTCTAATATTTCTATTGAAATGCAAAGGTATGGAAAAAGCCATGATAATAGCAAAAAGATCAACTTAAAAAAAAACTACAATAAAACACATTTTGTAGTGTTAATTCAAGGGCAGACACTTTCATTAGAACATAAAACAGACTTACATGATCCCATTTATAAGCTACATAAAAAACTATGATCATTTTCACACAAAACAAAGCCAAGTGAAACAGGTAATACACTGAATATGAATTTATTTAAACAAATTCCAAAATCATACAATACCTGTCATTCATATCAAAGTAGAGATTTCTTCTAGGAGGTGGGAATCAACTAATGGTGAGATGCTTTGTTTAATTTTTACATCTATGTGGGGATTCCGTGAATTTATTTATTTTTGGTATCAACTAGAGCAACACAGATGATTTTTCACTTTATATATTATTCATTCAATCAAAAATATTAATCTAAAAAAGATTATGTGTTAATCTGCATATTAATGTCTCTTTTTATATGATTTTTAAGCTAGAAGTCTGCTACTTGGTAGTAGGGTTATCTTGGATAATTTATGAACTTTTCTTTTCTCAGTTTTATCAACTCTATTATATTGATCACTTTTTTATAACAATTAATAAATTAAGATGCAAAGAACTTAGAAGTTTTCCTGTCAGCATAAACAACACAGTATCAGAATTTTTTAGATTTCTTTTATCAGATCATTATTTCACTGCTTATAATGAAAATAATTTTCTAGAACATCTTTACATTTGTATCAAATGTCACTGGCATTGTTATTGTAGTACCTTGCCTCATGAAGTAAACTATGTTTTCATATTTTCCAAAATTCCTGTTCAAATTATTTTCTTTCTTTTATTTTAATAATATTTTAATTTTATTTTTATGAGGTGCTGAGGATCAAAGCCAGTGTTTCACGTATGGTAGGCGAGCATTCTACCTCTGAGCCACAACCCCAGTCCTCAAATTATTTTCTTTATTGGCAAATATATTATTTCATAATTTAGATAAATTACAAATTTCAAGTTGGCCTTGCCTTTGGTATCTTTTAAACAAATTAAGTGTGAGAAATGTAGGCAAAGATAATGATTCTTTGGCTGTTAATTACTTAGGAATATTAGAAAATGCAGACTAGGTTAAAGATAATTAAATGCCATGTTAGTAATACTTTCACTTCAGAAAGCAAATTCTCCAACTATATAGATATTTCTAATTACTGTTTTGTTAGTTTGTAGATGAATTATCTTGTTTTAGGATTTTAATGTATTTCAAGAAGTTGCCACATGCCACTTTCAATGTACACATGATAGTGTTTATATAATTGCAGAATATAGGGTAGGGCAAAATACAATAAAGATTCGAAATATTGTCCTCAGAAAGTGTCCCATAACTGGTCACAAATTATACAGATTCACTTTAAAATCAACATGATTTATTTTCTGTGCTTTCTGAGTTGAAGGCTTAGCACATAAGATTGCCAAAAAATTTTCAGAATGAATCAAAACATTGGGGTATTTACAAAACAGCATTATAGAATTTTAATATCTTAACATTAATACTGGTTTGGTTTGACCCTGACTCTGACACTTTCCATTTCTATGGCTTTAATATTCTGTCTGAGAATGAGTTGTCTCTACTATAAATTCAGCCTAATGGACTTGTATCTAAAGTGAACTCTTGTCTTGAAAGGTGAACAGTTTTGGAAGGTCAGGTCTAAGAGTTAGACTTGTGGGGAAGAGGGTGAAATCTTAAAACTCTTTGATTGCTTTTAATTCTTAAATATTATTGTGCTTTGTAATTTCAGATTCTAATGTCAGTAAACTAGCCCTAGGACAAGCATGATCAACCATGAAAAATATGGTATAATTGGGATTTTGAAAAAACATTCACAGGTAGCGCTGTTGTAGTCTAAATTGTGCCCATAAAATTCATATGCTGTACTCATAATCCTCAGTGACTGAGAATGTGACTATATTTAGATACAGGATTTTTAAAG